TTTTTCTTTCTCAGTATAAAGAAAATCTGTAATGGGTTAAAATATTTAAAAAAAATCAATTTTGAGGTTTTTCAAAATTTTGATTGATGTATGATTTAGAATTGATGAAATGTTCTTTTATTTATATGTACATGTACATACCGTGTCAAGGAATTCTATTAACTTTGACAAGTAGTAAAGCCAAATAACATTTGCCAGCTGTAATATAACAAAGACATATGGATAATGTACATGCTTTAGAGACAACACTTGGTAATTCAGGAATAGCAAATTTCATTACGATTTGATGAGGTAGTAAAATCAATCACTTACTCTTAAAGCTTGCGGATTGTTGGAATAGTCAACTGGTTGACACACTTTGCTAAAATTTGAATTAAACCAAGTAGTTACCAATGTCTGCGAAAAGAAAGAAAAGCAGCACTTAAACTAAACTTATGTCGTTGTTAAATGTTTTGATGTGATTAAGTTACTAAACAGCAACAGTAGACTCTCTGTAGATCTATAGGTCGTCAAAAATAGATGATCATCCAATCCTTTTTTTAGACCAGTGAGTCGCTTTTAGTTTTACTTGCACCTGATGTTTTAAGAGGTGCGTGTTTGCTCTATTCCCAGTTTGTATGGTTTAAATGAACTTACTAGTATCATCGTCGGATACCCATGAGTGCTCTCATTTTTTACTCTATGTGAGGAGTAAAATACGAGGACACACTTAGGCTGTTAGGTATCTTCGACGATGTGAACTTATGAGCTTGTTCGTTATCTCCATATTTCATAGCCTATTTGGTTATCAAATTTAGTTGTAAAATCAAACAAATATATACCTACGAATATATAAGGCATTCAATAAATTATATTGTATTCAATGTCTATTTATCATGTATATGATTTAGGTACTAAAACTCAAGTGGATGCCCCAGCTGCAAATCTGATATTCATCGATCGTAAAAATAGTTTAGGGATGGCAAACCAACTACAGCGGTCCTTCAGATATCCGGATGCTTCAGTATCCGGACAGCTTTTCATGGGAACAAATTTTTTTTAAATGTTATTTTGTCTTGTTTAACTGGTAAATCAGATATCCGGAAGCTTCACATATCCGCACAAATTGACCAGGAACCAAAGTGTTCGGATAAATGAGGCTCCACTGTATTTTTTTATGCGCCCAGATCGATAGATGCAGGGCGCATATTGTTTTTGTCCTGTCTGTTTGTCTGTTTATCTGTTTGTCTGTCTGTCAGTTGTCAACTTTAACCTTCACCATAACGTATGAACCAAAAGAGATAGAGACTTCTTATTTGGTATGCATACTGCACTAATAAAGTTCTCTTAAATGACATCAAGGTCAATGACCTTGTGACCTAGACAGTGACCTATATGCTAAAAATAGCTTTTTCGACTTTTTGCCACAACTTTTGAACCATAGGAGATAGGGACTTCATATTTGGTATACATACTAATAAGGTTCTTTCAAATGACACCAAAGTCAATGACCTTGTGACCTTGTTTTAATATCAAATAGCTATAGCTTTACATACATGTACATGTTCTAGTAATTTTGCAACAGTTTGTTGAAGTGAGCAAATTTGTTTACCAGTACATGATTTATATGTATATGTACCTCGTGAAACATGTAAGCACTAAGCGCCACCATACAGAAGTTGTAGAAGATCATTATATTCTTGAGATCGTATGCTTTCCTTGACTGCATCCAAACAGGCCCCATCTTCACCAGATACAGATATGCACCGATACTCAGAAAGAGGGAGACTGGGGATCGAACCATGAACCAATCTGCAGTTCGCGGGTCTGTGATTAATAAAAAATATATTATTTCAAATTAGTTGCAGTAATAAAAAAACTTTGGTTAAGTTTTATTTAAAATTTTAAATTTGTATTTCATGGGGGTCTGACAGTATTAGAAATTATAAGTGGCTTTGTTTGTAATATACGTATACGTATACGTGTAGTATACGTGAACAAGCAAATTTCAATTATTAAAATTGGGGGCACAATATTAATGTCACCACAACCACCCCAAGCTCTGTTGGACCTGAATTATGTTCTCTTTTTGGAAGGAGGAGGGGTGTTAGATCTTAATGACGCAAAATTACTTAATTGTTTATTTAACAGGCACCTGACTTACTTATTTTTCTTTTTTTAAAAAAATATACCCCCTACCTAATAATCTCTATAATATCGGTCATTGTCAGATGTCTGGTGAGAAAACCACCTTTAAAAGGAAAATTTCTATTGGATTTATCTTCAAAATCTTATATAGACTTGATCATTTCCTGTAGGATATTTCATAAAATGTTGATATTTTAGGGAAAATAGCATTATGCAATTAGGAATAGACTTTTCCAACAGGTACGCATTGAACATTAAAATGAACAGAGCTAATATTACACTGCATGGTCCTCTGCAAAGAAAGATAACTCTAATGTTGAAAATTTTCAAATCCATAACAATTATTTTTAAAAAATGTCACGCGTCGTATTTAGAGAGAGAAAAAAATCTTTCGATCTCCTTGAGGGAAGGGTTTTTAAATATTCATTTACATGTACTATATATACTTTCCAGAAGCATCTGTAGTGTTCTCTTTAGAGAAGTGGACGAGCTTTCACCTACATTTATGTGGACGTAGGCGAAAGCCTGTCCCCTTCTCTAAAGAGAATAGATAACCCCACTTCAACTGATAGACAAAATATAACGAGCTTATCTATATTTTCTTAAAAAACACTTTTCCAAGGTGGTTGAGGGGGCGGGCGCGGGGGGGGGGGGGGGGGGGGGGAATCCAGAATTTTTTAAGGGGGTCCACCCACCTCAGTTAAAAAGAGATATATATAGAGAAAAAAAAAAGTAAAATCATTACTCACTTCCCAAAAAAGAAAAAAAAAACCCTCACATTTCGAGGAGGGGTTTGCGTTTTATGGGGGGGGGGATTTAAGGTCACTTTTACTTGGTTTAATATATACATTTGATAACTCTGCAAATTCTTAGGGGGTCCAGACCCCCGACCCCCCCCCCCCCCTCTAGATCCGTGCATGGGGTTGATGAGCGTCATCCACACTTAAAGTACTTAAATTAATTCCCAATCTTCACGGCTCATGGTCCCCAGAAAATAAAACATTCTTTTTCAGGTATATGTATAAAATCATCTCAGGTGGTGACAATGCAGCTAAAAACACTTCATTTTACAACATGTACAATGTAACATACATGGATGACATGGTTATATATGTACATTGTATGTCTGAACTTACCGCTGAGGTCGTCCACAATATAATGGTAAAGCTGGGATCCCTCTGTAATTTTATTCATTCTGGATTATGCGCGTGAATCCTGTGAGAAAATCGTAAAAAATGAAAAAAATCAATCCTCGGAATTCTCAATTTTAAGTTTTTAATTTGGGGAGGAAAAAGTCTTCAGCAACACAACCCGAAATCGTGTGATTGCTGTAGGCCTAACTGAACAAATCAAATCTTTAAGTAGCTATTCCAAACAATGACTGTTTAATGCAAGGCAATATTTTTGTCTCAAAGTGAAATTCACTTGGATTTCATTTCTTATTCTTTTCAAACGATCTTCGAGAATACATGTAGACAACGTGTGCTCTTTTTACTATAAGAACATTATAACAGGAAATGTAATGGAGACAGATTTACCACGGAAGTATATGTATCAGGAAGAATTAAATGCAGGATCTTCTTTAGAGCAGTCCTAGTGTTTGTTTATCTTTAAAAAAGTTTGTTTCCTGTCTGAATTCTAGGAGAACCCCCCCCCCCCCCTTGAAATATGCCTGTTTTAATACTGGCTTTTACCCACCCCGCCCCCACTACATCTTTTTGCATTTTTTTAAAGTTTAGGCTATATAGAGTGAACATATTATCTCTTACTAGATCTAGATAAAGACTATTTTCTCTTTATTTTTAAATTTATTGAAAAATAAATGAAATAACCTTTCCTTCACTGAGTGGATCGGAGGATTTACTCTCTGCAGATTTTAAAATGACCAAAAAGCTATACATAGAATTTAAGATGTCTTATGAAAATGACATTTCATTCATCTTTACATATTCACCTGACTGATATAATTTACATATTCACCTGACTGATATAATTTACATATTCACCTGACTGATATAATTTACATATTCACCTGACTGATATAATTTACATATTCACCTGACTGATATAATTTACATATTCACCTGACTGATACATGTATAATTGTCATTTCTATTTTTCCCTAATAGATGCATTTTTTGCAATTTCTATTTTCCCTATCATTTCTTGAATATCCATTTTCATTTTATTTCAAACATATACACATCTACATGTAAAAGTTAAATCACCTCAAAATTTCATCTTTTCTTAAAGACATGCGTATAAGAAATCTTTAATGTTGTAGATAAATAAACAATAATTACGTACCTCAGTATATTACGGTTTCTACGTGTAAGTTATGAGACGAAGTCGAAATTCATGTATATACTCTAATTAGACACGTGGACTAATACCGGCATGTTTTTCCCCATTGAATTATGACTTTATTCTATTGTACTCTAGGATCTATTATTAAATGTCCATAATTCATATCCAGACAAAATATAACGGAAACATGTACATGAACATTGAACTTGTCAAGAATGTTATCGATTTCTAACTTTTAAATTTTGGACAAATAACATACAGTTCATAAAAACTCAGTGTTTTCAGATATATTTATCGTTATTTTTTTCAACACTAGAATTTGAGTTGAAAAGTTAATTTTAAATTTAGTACTGAGATAAATTTTGATCCATTGATCCTATTATGTTTAAAGCCCAATATGTACAGATCTAGCGACCCAGTATTGACCTCGTTTAAATATGGTCACGGTACTCGTATATGTACATGTATTGTATTTGTATTGGTTATATTTAAGGGATAAGTGGACATTTATGAAATATTGTTTAATTCAAGCCATTGACCACTGAAATTAGTTGTCTATTTTCATTTTCCGTATTTACTACTTCGTTTTTGACTTGGTGTATGTTTGCTGTTAGGAAGTCAAACCAGAAGTCTCTGTCGAGACTGTAGCTCTACTTGTTTGTACTTATAACAGAGAAAGAGAAAAGTAGGAGTTGGGTTAAAATTTTGCAACAGAAAAAGAATTTTACAAATATATCAATTTTAGTTACCATGGCAACATCATTCATCAAAATCAAAAATCCAATAAAGACGATTATGAATCTTGGTGTGGACTACTTGCACGCTGCATTGTATTAAAATCAGACCAAAACTGTAGGTGGAGTAGCATTTTGAAAGTTTGTGGAAGAAATTTCTATTTTTAGTTACACTGGCAACAATGTTCATCGAAATCAAAAAACAATATATAGAATTATGCATCTTAGTGAAGTCTATATATACTTGTGTGCCATATAATATTTTAAAAAATCAGTTCAAAACGTTTAAGTTATATAACATCCCATACCTCCTAGTCAGGTTGGATTGTAGGCCGGGTAATGTAAAATCCTGGCTTATATTTGAATAAATGTGTGAGAAAAAATCAGTTCAAAACTATTTTGAAAGTATTTCACAGAAATTTTTATTGTTAATAACCCTGGCAACACCGTTCATCGAAATAAAAAACCGATGAACAGAGTTATTTATATCTCAGTGTACTCTATTTGTGTGCCAAGTTATATTGATATCATATCAAAACTAAAGAAGGAGTAGCATTTTGAAAGTATTTTAATACTTTTTCTTCTATTTTTAGTAACCACGACAACACTGCTCATCGAAATCAAAAACTGATAAACAGAATTAAATGTATCTCAGTGTACTCTACTTGTGCGTCACGTTATATTGAAATCAGATCAAAACTGTTGGAGGAGTAGCATTTTGATAGTATTACACAGAACTTTCAATTTTTAGTAACCACAGCAACACGTACCGTTCATCGAAATCAAAAACCGATATACAGATTAATGTATATTTAGTTAGTGTAGTTTACTTGTGTGCCAAGTTATATTGAAATCAAACCAAGATTGTGGGAGGAGTAGCATTTTGCAAAATTGTCTATAGACAGCAATACAGCTATACGGACGACGGACAAACTACTATCGCATAAACTATTCTGGTCTCTGACCAGAAGAGCTAAAACAGACACAGAAGCTTACAGATAAATATTTTTGAATATATTTGAAAATATTACATACAACCCTAAAAGAGGTGTACATACGTTGACATACATGTAATATCCTTTTGACTAGACTTGTCTGCCTAGCTGTCCGTCTATCTGTAATAATTACAGAGTATCGGTAACAACATTTGAAATCTTAGAAAGTTTTTTTCCTTATAATTTAAGAATTCAAGATGTATATTCGAAGCCATACTTGCATGTGGTCATGTAATATGTGGATTTATTGCGATAATCATAACCCTAGCTAACAGATGGGTTTGAATCACGGACCTTAACTGCGTAAGCCTTGTCTAGGGTGAATCATAATTTTAAACTTGCTAACCAGAATCTGAAAGCCTATAACAAAATGAACGATGACAAAATTTACCGAAAATAAATTCAAAATATCATAGAAATTCAACATCCTCTTTTTCTTAATAACTTCCCTCTGAATGATTGTTTCGATACCCAAAGAGCAACAACTCGAGCAAATCATGCAGACGGCAACGAACATTGACTTAAAACTCCTGGCACAAAACAAACCAAGATTGATATAAATTGATATTAATAATCGGATTTTTAAATTTTAAATTAAAATTGAAAAAAATTTAATATAGAAAAGTTCATTGAAAGGGCGGATGCCGGTGCCCCTCAGGCGCGGATCTAGAAATTTTTCAAAAGGGGGGGGGTTGAAGGATTTTTCAAAGGGGGGTTTTGAAGGGGAAAAGAGTAATTTTAACGTACATTTTAGACATACATGTAGTTAAATAACTCAATAGGATACCGGGTGGGTATGGTTTTTAAAAGGGGGAGGTTGATCAACCTGGGAAAAAGTACTTGTATGAATTACTTGTAAGTTTTTGAAAAATAAAAAGGAAATTAAATATATCTCCGAATCCGAAAATCTTAAGAACAAAATACGGTATTAGCAATTATTCGCCGCAAATAATACGATATTTTAATCATCTTTGTATCATAGATGCGAAATATATTCTACAGGTACCAAAATGACGTAATTTTTAACTATGACGTCACTGATACGCGCTAAACATTGGTTGCGCAAAATCGTTAAATTATGCTGGAAAATGGGTAATCTTTGCAGAAATTAGACCCTTTCACATGCAACAACCACTTTTGTACTCCGCATATAAGTTCATCATTAAATTTAGTTATATTAAAATAGTGTTGGTTGTCACCTGTGATCAATATGAATTTTACAAAAGTTAGCATACGGATATAGATATTTTACCAACGCAATGTTCCTGATTCGATGCTAATGACGCTTAATTTACACAGAATGAGATTTTTTTATTTCAAGTCCCATCACTGGACTTAGTAAACTATACAAATACCCCTAAATATAAATAAAATATTTTGAAAACAAAGTATAAATTGCAGTTAAAGATGCCGCTTATGCTGTTTATACATCGTACATGTATGCACTTGCATACTCGTATAGTGTCCGTCGGCTGTACATGTAGCATTGAATAACAGCACAAAAATATCATTCACATTAATAGCACGATATTTTTTAAATCTAATTATTACAAGAATAACTTTAAAAATCTGTGATACATGTATCTCCAGAATAATTATATTTTCCTTTACGAGTCTTTAATTCCTCAATGTGTATGTAGTGTTTAATACTAGTCATAAATAGTGTGACCTCCGAACAATCATGAGAACCATTAAAAATACAATAAAATGCACATACATTGAATAAACTTTTACGATAACATTTAAATGTAGCATTAAAGTACATGTATGGTTCAACATTTAATTTTTCAGATCAAGTATTGCTTTATAGCCATTAATTGTGAAATACAAATATTTATACATGTACATGCTGTAAATCTTGGCAGTGTGTAGTTGATAGCAGATCAAAAAATAAAAAACACAACCAATCCAAGAAAATAATAGATACTATATAGATAGTACGCACATTGATAGTACGGAATAGCGCATACAAATTCAAATGTTTATTTATTATAATTTTTTTGCAAATATTTTTTGCATTGAACATTACTAGGTTTAACACACACACACAATTTCCACAGACACGTTACGTTACAGTATAGGTTTAAAATTGGGAAAGTGGTGCTGTTTGGAAAAACATATTGGTACTGAAGTTCGAACCCATACCCTTCCCCCCCCCCCAACGAAATAGGTTATTCGTGTTTGGACAATGGACATAACCTTGTTTTCTTGCTTGTCAGTTATTTTTTTTTTGGGGGGGGGGGCCTAAAATTTTCTTCTTACACTTAGCCCCCCTCCCCCTTTTAATTTGCTTCCGACGCCGATGCAGAGTCATAAATTACATGTTATATTTAGAAGCCAGTGGTTATTTAGTATAAAAAAAAAACAAAACAAAAACAAAAAAAAAAAAAAAAAAAAACTTAAAAAGACTTAAAATGATGCGCATGATAGGGAATTTTGAAATTTATCTGACATTGATCATCGACACTCAGCCGCTTCTGATTTGTGATCAAGCTAAGGACTCCCCTACCTTTATCCTTGGATTTTCAGATTTTTTTATTACATGTAACAGTAGAGAGTCAAACGGTTGAGGCAGAACCCACGTAATTCTTTGTTACGAAGGAAAGCAGATCGTCTCCGGCCCTCGGGCTGATATGGGGCCACTCGGGCTGATATGACATATGATATGGATTTTAGTATGTAATATTCTCTATATATAGTATTTAAAAAATAATACTAAAGAAGTTGGCCTCTACACCACCCCTTCACCCCTGAAACATGACTTTCGAGTTTGAACAATTCCCCCCCCCCCCTTTTATGTTTTTTTTTTATTTTCATTAATATTTTGTTTTTTGCTTGTCAACTATTTTCAGGTAAGTTATTTTTTTTTCATCTTTGCCCCCCCCCCCCCCCTCATTTTCAAAAACGATGCTACGTCACAACAACATTTTCTGGAAAGGAAATACCTATTTATGGGGGGGGGGGGGCAGCTAAAAAAAAAATATATTTATTCTCCGTTCTATCAATATATATTTTTTTGGAGAGCTACAGTTCTGCAACTATGGGAGAGGGTGGGGTTTCATTTTGTATTTACAACCGAATTTATTTATATAACACAACATTAATTAGCCCTTCACTGAACATTTTCTAGAACTAGAGTAAAAACACAACAAAAATTTGAACTTTCTTCTTTCTCTTTCTTTTTTGAAAATCCAAAGGGGGGGGGGGGGTTGCAACCCCCGTAACCCCCCTCTGGATCCGCCACTGCCCCTCCCCCTCCCCCACTTTAAGTTGCACTGCAGTATAATAGAAAAATTAGGGTAATGTAGTAATGTACTTGTACATGCACTGCAGTATAGTAGAAAAATAAGGGTAATGTAGTAATGCCCTAAAGAAGTTGCATCCCCCCCAAAAAGGATTTTCGAGTTTCGAACATTGTTTTTTCGTTTCAGGTAAGTAATTTTTCTCTGCTCACCACACCCACCAACCCCCTTTCAAAAATAATGTTACCTTTCAATAAAGTCAAAGGAAAATTCATATATTGTAATGCAATAATATGGAGATATAACGATCGAACAATATTCAAGCTCATAAGTCCATTAAATTAAGCAATACTAAATAGGAGCAGAGCAAACACGGACCTCCATAACATCAGAGTTGGGATAGGGTGCCATGGATAGAGAAGTGAGCATCCCTTCTCGACCCTGTGCTACTTGTCATGATCGTGAAAATCTGTCGACAATTTAGTGTGTAAATAATAGCCTAACAATTAGAATGGAAAACGCTAATCAGCATTTGACTTAATGCTAGATTGTATTTGCTGTCTGACAAGATCATTGTACTGACCACAGAACTTATGAAATGGTGACTTAAATCGAGACTGATTGTATTCTTGTTTCATCAACTTGTCAATAATTTTCCTCGTTTTAGAAATTGTTCATACGTAAAACATGCTCTTTCCAGGTTGTAACTTTAATTTTCTTGGATATTTCCGTTATATAAAAATGCATAGAACTCCATATGGCCTGAAGAAGACCCAGATAAATTCCAAATTCATATGATCAAGGTCATGGATTTGTATATATTCTTGTTTAACACCGAAATCTTTCTAACCAATTGCACCTTTATAATGAATTTTGATATCAATCTATCTAGATACACTAAGGTCGACCCCTATTGATTTTAGGATCAAAAGTTCAAGGTCAGAAACTCAATTAACATTTACCACTTTATAACAAGATTTCTTTGATTTTTCTCAATAGTTCCTGGTACTCAGCAGCTTCAAAAATCCCATTGATTTGAATTGTACACATTGCTCGTGCAACACAAGCCTGAGATAGTGAAATATAAATCACAACTCCCTAAGGCCTCAAAAAGACCCATATTGATTTAGAGTCAAGAGAAATATATATACATACAATGAAGCTTTTATAAGGTACATGTATTAGTGTTTCTGTAAGCTTTGGCAATTCATTAAAAGGAGATATATTTCAACTTAAAAAAATATCTATTGCTTTTAAGGCAAAAAGCTATAAGATGAAAGTTTTTTTTTTTAAAAGTAAACCTTTTTCTTTCTCAATCTGCATTTTGATCTCCCACTCTTCCGCTTTTCTTTACCACACATGGGGGACACATGCCTTTCTTTACCTTACACTGGGGACACAAATTCTCTGAATAAGCCAGTTTTTTAAACTTGTTTATGCTTTAATAAAATAATTGGATATTCAAATCAATTTTAATATTTTATTTGGATTTACATTGTCTATTGCACAAAAAGGATGCCTATATCATTTACAGCATCAAACAAAGAAACAAAAATTGAGATATTTCAGATATTCCATATTCAGTATTATAAGTTCATACTTTTTCCCTTTTCAACTTTTGATACTCTTTTGTAATGAAAAGTTACATACACATTTTTACAACACTAAAAAAATACTCTTAAAACTTGACAAGTTCTGAAAGAATTACTTTCATTTCAAACCAAAAAAATTTTAACTGCGTGTTCATTCGTGAGATCAATCATCTTTGCTGATTTACACATCAAAATAACATTTTACCGAATTACAGTCTTACAAACAATGTGAATAAGTTATTCGTGAGGTACAGGAAACTGCCCTTATTTTTTTCATAGGATGCTGCATTTTTATATAATACTAGTTCACATACATGTATTGAAAACATGTTATTTGGAAGAATAGCACTACTTTTGATTGCTTCAATACCAATAAATATGATATATTAACAAAATCTTCTGTATTTTTTTTTTCAATATGTATATATAAAATAATGGATTTGCTTACAACTATTAGAATAAAATTATAATAATTTTAACACTTTTTTTGGTGAAGATTCTGCCAATCACATCATATCAAATGGCAAGTTCTGTTGACATATGCTGCAAAAATAATAAGTTTTCCTAGCCTTCTCAACTTCGACAGCCAAAACATTCTATAATATTTAACTGTTAAATTATCACTACTAATAGTTTACACATTTTCAAGAGGAATGATTTTGTGGGTTTGACAAATTGTCAGCTTACAATAAATGAAAAATCATGTCTTTTGTCCCCCTTCTCATCAAAAATACACATTTAAAGTTATTTTTCAAAAAAATCTTTAAAATTGTCCATAATGTTGGGGATAAAGAATCCAAAATGGATTACACTTCTGTACAAATGACAATCAGTTGACAAAAATTATAAAAAACAAAAATAAAATAAAAATTGTCCCCAACTGAACACGATTTTCATTTTCTTAATTGTCTCAGAGACTGTTGCATCCTGGGGTAGGATGAGTGGAGTTTATCAGCTGACTAGATGTTTGGTTGTTCACTCCTGCGTGTTGATTGTTCAACGATTTGCGACCATCGTTCCTAAGGTCACGAGGCCAACAGCAGTGAACATGAGTCCTTTCCATAACTTGTCTTCTGTTGCTCCTTGCTCTGGGAAATAATCAGCGAAGGCATCCTGTAAATGATAAAAATATCTTGCTTGAGAAAAACAATTCGGACACAATACCTGATGTCACGTATCGTGCGATCTTTCTTATAGGACAAATAAGGATTAGCCAGACATGGTTATTTTATGTAGCGGTTTGACTAACACTACATGACTTCTCCATACATGGAAATTTTAAAAATAGTTTTCGACAAAAGGGCCCTTTAAATTAAAAAAATATGCCAAGTTCGAAAAATGCGAATTAAAGGCATACAATGATTCACCCATATTTGTGGTAAAAATCCAATCCAAAGTGGTTTTAGAAGGAATTTGGCTATCTGCCAAATGTATTCAGTAACGACAATATTCAATGAAAATTCAATACACTCGCTGGCACACTACCAAAGCATGTCTGGCGCTTTTGAAGAGAAACTAAGCAACCGTGAAGACCTTACATTCTAATAATTCTTAACATGAATACTTCAAAGACATTTAATGATTCTTTATAAAAATAGAAAAAATCCCCATAGATACTTAGTTTTGGGATATACTTTTTTAATGTCAGATATTATTTTCTCTTCATTTTATTATGTTTTAAATAGAAAGTGTCATTAAATCATACATAAATTATTAATCTAATAAGAATATTTTGCTTACCCATCCCCCATTATCTAAGATCCACTTCCCCAATTTACTCGCAACATATTTTCCAGCATACAAGGCAATTCTTTCTTCAGAATCAGGAGTGTGCTTCTTACAATGAACAGATAACCTAGCAGCAAAAGTATACACCGCAACAATTCTACCCCAGTTAATTGTCCCATCTTCAAAAATTTCATCAGCAACTGATACAAATGTTGAGAAGGCATTAGTGTCATTCACATTTAGTTTTTGCACCATAGATTTGAAAGCGATATTATGACGATCAGACATTTCTTTCACAGTTCTTCTCATGGTTTTACAGTATCTATTTTGGGGAGCTCTATCACTGTTATCCTCGAACGTAGCAATCACATCTGAAGCAATCACTTCTGCCATCTGTCGAACTTTGTCCATAGGTGTTGTGCTGCCAGGAGTTTGTGTTTCTTGATCTAACCTCGCCATATCTTGACCAAGTCCCGCAAATCCAGGAAGAAGACCAAGCTGCCGGTTAATTTCGGTGAAAAAATTTCCTTTGAGAAAGTTTCCATTTGAATGTTTCAGGTTTTCTACTTCACTAGCCATTTCTAAGTCAAAATTCACAACTAACTGTTCAAATAAATCAACAAGAAATGAGATGTAAACAAATAACAAGAAGTCTTTATACGTCTATCCTCTCAAAATGGCTGCGGTCTTCTCACAGAACGAACACTTCACGTGATATCTAATCTTCTCTATTATTGGTTGGTAGTGTTTATAAAGTTTGTGACGTAGATATGTGTATATTTATAGAAAATTCTTTTATTGATTGGATACGTCATTCAGAAAGAAAGGATTTGATTGGACAATGATTACAGGAATTCCTTGCTAGCCGAGAGGGGAATGAAAAATTTACGGAAGAGTTTTCCTCCTCTCACAGAAGTAGTTGTTGAATATTTTGGGAAAAATAGTTGATCAACTTATCGTAATTAAAAAAAACTTTACAAAGGAAGTGGAAATTACAGGTATGTATACTTATCTCAAAGTAGCTCTTTAGTATCTCTCCAATAGCAAGGCCGAATTTCCTCAAAAACATCTTTTAGATATAAACATAAGTACCATAATTATGATCCTATCTCCATGTGAGAAGAATATGTGCTAACAATGTTTTTTTCCTTTCAATATTGTTAGTTTGACTGATTCTGATGTAGTTTTTCCACTGCAAAAACAGATCGCTAAACATTTTGATTTAAAAGTTCTACATGTATTATCATGATTATAGCATACAAAGCCTGATGCATGCAGTGTTCTGTAGTTCAGTAACATACATGTATTTGCTCAATTTCATTCATGAATAGTATATGATAAAGAAACATTGTATAACTGTGACAGAGGCACTAAACTCGCTTGCATTTTTGTTGTCAAATATTTGCATTAAGTATGCCAATGTGATAATTTTGTTGGTATTCCAAAAGAACTCAGAACTCAGTAATTAACCACTCATTTAATACAAGTCAGCACACAAAGGGTAAAAAAGCCAAGGGGGACAAAATTCAGCTTGCTATAACATTAAGCATAAATTCTTTTTAAGTGTGTTCGCTCCAAGTTTATTTTACTGTACCATATTGGATTTGTAGAAATAATCATGATTATTGGAAAACCCTTAAGTACGTGTATAGACCCTCAATATCCCAAAGCCTTCAATTTCTCAGAGTTTTTCTTAGTCCCATTAAGTTTGAAATATCAAGGTTTGAGTGATCGTAGAAATGGTAGATGTGTAACACTTTAGACAAATCAATGCATATAAATGAACTTCAAAAAACTGGTGTCATTAAAGTTAAATAAAGCTTCTGTCCAAGTTGTGTTAAAAAAAAGATAAAAAAAAGATGTAGACTTATAATGCTTAGTACATGAATTCTTTAAAGATTTATTTTAAATTATAAGATACAATATATTTATAATTACATAAAGCTAGTGAATCTTTAATATTAAAACTTAGTGTTGCATGATCATGATATTCCTTGTATATAATGGCAATCAGGGTAACTGGGTTAAAATTTAAACATTTGTTGTCTGAAAATTGATTTCCTGTCATGTAACATGAACAAAGTAGTACTTGCATGTTTATTATCAAAACTATAGAAATTGGAGGTATGAATGAAAAGTTCAGTTTGATCAAAGGAGAAGAAATATAACCATATACGTAAATAGAAGCTGCGTAAAGTTCTGTAGCAATGAAATGGGAGATATACCAAATAATAATCATACTCAAAAAGTATTTAAAAAATAAAATTGAAATCAGAGTAAACACAGACCTCCAAAAACATTTGAGATGGGATCAGGAGCCATGGAAAAGTAGGCAGCCCCTGGCAGCTGGTCACACCTGCTATGTGCTCCTTGTCATGTTTTGCAATGAAAACATGTTATTGTATTAATTCTTTGTGTTTAATATATTAACTGATTACTCTGAATTCTATATTACATTTTTTATTCAATTACACTGCAAGTAACTTAGTCTTCCCCTGTAAATCAAGTTTTGATTGAATTCTTTTGGTTTGTGAAATATATTACACAACCTTAGTTACCTTTTATATTTGCATGTTCTGCATTGAATTATTGATTGAAGTACATGTTAGTAACAAATTATGATTTTCGATACCATCATTTTAATTTACAATGATACTCTATTGTTGCACTCTGTATATTGATTCTGTAATATCTCATACATTATCTTCAATTCATCAGCAGAATTTGATTTCCCATGTCAATGTGTTTGATATTTTTTTTCTGTACCATAAAGCAAAAGTCAAAGACCGCTACGTAAATTCTGCTTTGTTGTATAAAACATCAGGTTCTATTCACTTCAACCATTCAGACAACAACTCAAGTCAGCATCTATTTCCCTTGGCTGCACCTGCAGAATTAGTTGATGCCTCAGGGGACAATGAACTTGCATGTTCTATAAATCTATTGACCTCATAGCTATTTTTGTTGACATTGATCACTGAATGGCACAATAAGTTCAATGTTTTTAATTTGTTCATCATTTTGTATTATTATCAGTGGTGTTTATATGACATAGTAAAACCTTGACTATATTTGCATTCAGGTCAAGCAAGATAAAATATTCATAAAGCTACAGTGTATGCCTGCTTGAACATGTTGAATGATTTTTCAGTTGTGAGCAAATTTGTGAGTGGAAAAAGATTTGGGCCCCGCAAGGATTTGCGGGTGCCCTATAGTAATCACTCTGTCTGTCCGTCCGTCTGTCCGTCTGTCTGTCCGTCTGTCACTCTTCCGTCCACAAATTTTCTGTTTTTTGCTAATAACTTTTTTCATGGTTGCCCAATCAAGTTCAAATTTGTAATGGTAGTTCAGTAGGCAGAAATACACATTTTGATGCTAAGTTTGGTTCTCTATGTCTTCTGGTTTAGAGGTGGGGTGGTGGGGTAGATTCCTTAATTATGCATAAGAATGAATGAATAACTTTTTTTATGGTTGCCCAATCAAGTACAAATTTGGTACAGTACTTCAGTAGATAGAAATACATATTTTGATGTTAAGTTTGGTTCTCTATGTCCCATGGTTTGGAGCTGGGGTGGTGGGGTAGATTCCTTAACTTAATATAAGAATGCATTAGCAAAGAGAGATAACTTCTGAAGATGTTCCCATTGTTAATTTGTTATGCTGCTAGAAGTCCCTTGAGATTAATTAGCTTTCCTCCTTCCAGAGCGTTATCTTTATCTGTCACATTGAGATTAATTACCAACTCTGTCTGCAAATGAAGTTTGCTTTGAAGTTAAATCAATTTGGAATGCTATGAACACTTTGAAATGTGGATTTAAATATAAATTTTTATAATTTATTTTTGTTGATAGTTATGATTTCATTGAATTCTAAAAAAAAAAAAAAGAAATAGATTAAAGAAGATTTTTTAAATTTACTTTTTTCACTTTTTCAAAAATATTAATTCAAGAATACATGTATAATTAATTTTTAATGTACATGTAGTTGTATAAAAACTTCATTCTATCATTAACACTGAAAAAATTCTTATTGTAAATTTAGAAGAAAATGATGAGAGAGGTACAATTAATCCCTTGGGATTAATTATCTAGCCTGCTGCAGAAAATTTAGTAGGCTTTTCTTTATCTGTCACTTCAAGATTAATGAAAACCTTTGTCTGCAACTGCTGTTTGTTTGAAGTAGAGGTCAAGCCTTCATGATATTTGCATTTATTAAAGGCTGGCATTTATATGACACAAAGCTTCATAATTGTTTAAATATACATTCAATGTTAAGTTGTTCTTTACTGCCTAATGTAAATACATGTACAAGGATATTATTTTCAGGTTTTTAAATATTCAGGAATTATCTCTAAGTTTTAAGAATACAGTTCATGAGTTGCTGTTGCTTATTAATCAATCTGTAAGCGGCACCCTTTTAATTCTACCCCATGGCGGGGCCCTTGCTGACTGGTCAGTTTTCTAGTTAAACTGATATTTTTCATATTTATTGTGAGAGATATTATCTAGTAGACTTCCATTTTTCATATTATGATCTAAAGCAATAATAATGTTGCTTTCAAATTGAAAATTTATCATGTTCAGCCACAGCATTGGCTCAGCATGAAGTTTGGAAAATTGATTTGAGCAGATAAGCAGAAACAACATTGTTATTTTCTTTCAGTGCTGGGATATCAGCCAAAGAATATAACTAAAAGCAATTGACCACATTATATAATTTCCTTTCATGTGTGCTTTATGATACATTGAAAAGCAATTATCATTTATTGCACTGCAGAAAAGCATGTGTTCGTGTATTTAACTGTTTTTAGGGGAAGCCTAGATCTTCTAAGCTTTTGGGATGACTAAGGTAGCATATGTTTAATAAATATGAGAGGTACAACATACGATATCAAAAAGTACAAAATTGATTTTTATCCTATGATTTCAGGTCATGGGCTCTGAGGGAATGGAAGACGACCAAGAGGAAACTCAGAGAACCTTGCCCCACCCCAGCAACAACCCCAGAATTGAGGTCACGCGGGCGGAAAGTACGGACAGGACACAGAGTGATAACGAGGAGGAGATAGAAGAAAGCAGGAGAATAAGTCAACAGCGAGTCGAGCGGAGGGGATCCGTCCCCACTGGACTGGTAGAACACCATCTGAATCCCCAGTCACATTCCATCTGTGGACAGATTCTTAGAGTGATGGGAGATGAACATTATTCCAAAGGACTTGGGAAACATTTGAGGTACATGGGTGATGAAATGTGTTATTCATACTATTTAAGAAATGCGTATCATTCAGCTAGGGCAAATTCTTCCACTATGACAAACAGTCATTCATTACCTGACCTGAGGAGACACAAGGAATGATCAATTGATGTGAATTCTAGATGTCTGAAGTGTCGAGAAACCAATCAAGAGACATGCAGATTCATTTATCCATCATGATTATTGATTGTGATCATTGAGAATGAAGAAAAGGGGAGAGACTTCCTTAAACTCTCATAAAGAATAGTATATTACATGTAGTATGCAATTTGTAATTATGAAATGGTTGTTCATGTACATGCAGTCAAGAATGTAATATCTACTTGAAATCATAATGTCAAGAATTGTGATTTAGTGAAGTCATTAGTTGGAAAGGTTGAATCAAAGGCATTAATTGTGTCGTGTTTTCACATTGTGGATTTAGAACAGAATTTCTTTCATATAAGAACTTTTTATGAACATTGCACAGTAGGTTGATAGTTTTAAGGTTGTTAATACAGGAAGTGATGCGTTCTGCCTTGTTTACAAGTCTGTACGAGATAAATATCTCAGAAATATATAAACACCTAGATCAGCAGAGTAACGAACAATGAAATGAGTTGAACGTAAATAATTTAAATACCCCAATTCATCATATACATTAATCTGTTTATTGAATGTATTTGGCCAACAATGCTAAATATAGCTTATATACATAGAAATGACAGAAGGCACGTATCTATAAAGTTGTTTACTTAGAATGATCTAATTTCGTATTTAAAAAAAGGGGGAATAGTGTTTTTCAGATATAATTCAACCCCCAACAAGAGCAATTACCTGAAACTGAAAGGTTTACGTTTGATTTCTGCCAGTTTTTAATTTTTTTCTTAGTTCATGGATCCATTCATTCATCAAGTTTATCAAGATATTTATAATTAGTTCTGTATCAAAGGGTTATTGGCTGTTTCTTTGTACACTGTTGTATAAGCTTATACACTAATTGTCAATGATCAGAACATTCACTGCATGTTCACCCAAAATAGATTTATAAATTAATTGAATCAAATCAAGTTCATTAATAGGGAAGCGACCTTTGGTTTTTAAAGGATTTAATTGTTCTGAATGAAAATCCTTTATTTTTACATTCCTGTTAAAATTTGGGATTGGAAATTTTTTTTAATGTAAAACAGCTGTTAATGAAGATTATCAGTATCCTTCACAAAAGCACCTGTTAAGATCATACACGTAAATATCACCTGTAAATTTGTGGGAATGCTTTTTATGCTGTTAACGACCATTCAAGGACTGATTTTCATTGTTCAGAAAATTAATTTTCAAATACTGTAGATCTAGATGGTGCTTTGAAGTTCATTGTCCATAAATTTTACTTTTTAGTGCCATATTTTTCATTCTCAAAAATGTCAGATTAATAATGAAACTTGGAACTCGTATGATCATGGAAATTTAACATTGATGATTTACGATTATATTTTTTATTCAGTTGCTCTACAGGTTTATTATGTTCAAAGTCTTTCAACATGATTACATAACCAGAACACTTTGGTCCATAAATATGATAAACTTGTTTATGTGTTGGAATTGCGTATGAGTCACAGGCTTAAACTACAAGATATATCAAGAAGTCTCGTTATCACTCATAAACACATTTTTTAATATATTGTTTATGAAAATGTACGTCGAGATAATCATCTTAGTCTTATAAACTAAGTATAATTATTTTGTTGTTTTTATATATTGTAATATGATATGTAAAATATTTCTTTGTACTGAAAACCATATGGTACAATATTACAAACAAATATTACAGCACCTTTATATTGTTAATTCAATGTACTTATTTATGTATGTAATGAGATAAAATATACACAGAAAGATAAGATTTAAAATTAACAAATATAATATTAATCTTATTGAAGTGCATGTGCCTTAATGTTTCGTAAATGGATGTAAAGTGCAGTACAAAGTACAAAGGAACTTGAGGTGTGAGCAATTAAATCATGCACAATACAACCCAAGGCCAAGTTAAATTATTTATAAATATATCATGTATTATGTAATTATTACCAGTGATGTATCGATTAATCGATTAAATCAATTTTATAATCTAAATGACCCCCGATTATACTTGTAGGTACGTGTAATTGATTAATGTTTTGATAATCGATTATTCAAAATATTAGATAAAACGCAAATTATTCCTTGATTTTTGATTCATTCTTATTTGAATTTTATAATTAACTTAATTGTTAATATTTACATTTCCAATAAATTTCCCCTATGATTCTTTACAAAATAAAATGCAGTTCAATTTCTCATGAACTACATTACATATGTACCATGAATAAGCATGAATATCTCCATTGTTACGATTTTAATACCGCACTTTTTAAAAAAAATAAAAATTAAATATGTGCACACTGTTTTGCTTTAAAAATGACATGAATGGCATAAATTTATGGCAAGTCATCAGAAAAATAATGTAAATATAAGAAATGAATTTAATTTTTGAAAATTCATGAGGTATACGAAGTACAACGCTTGAATGCCATGATACAAAATATATTAAATATGTATTCTAGAAATCACATCAGAATTTTTTAACGATTTTTTTCATCATTCAAAAATGAACTTGAAATCGATCAACTATTAATAGATTATAGAGCATCTGTTTTTTCTGATAGTCAATATGAAAAAAATTCCAATTTCCTATCACTAATTATTACATATTGGCTAGGTATCTGTATTTTTCTCTTTGTCCTTGCTTTATTTGGTCCAGCTGGACATGGCGTTCATTTAATAGGACAGGATATGATTAATATATAGATCTAAGTATGAGTTATTTGTATATCTGTACATTTAGATTTTGAAATCACTCTAGCTTAACCTAAAATGGAATGTCCTGTTTTGTGGAAAATTAGAAATAAGAATGCATCTTTAAAATTTGTTAAGGCATGTGATAATTAAATGTCATACATGTACATGTTGTAGCTCTAAACAAAAGAACTTTGAAAATAAGTTCAACAACTTAAAAAGTATATGCCCTAAGATTAAGATATTTCAAATTTTGAACAGCTGAGCAGGTAAAGGATAAAGATTATTTTTGAGAAAGTATTTTACCTATAAATAAATAAAGATATAAATTGTCACCACCTGAATAATTCTGTAAAGATGTAAGTAACTAGGTGTGTTTGTTAACATGGCATTATAAGAATATGAATTCATCCTTGGGGGGTGATCATCAGGATTTTTTTGTGAAAAAAACATTTTACACCATGTATTTACATAATTATTTTTATATAAACATGAAAATGATAAAACATATGAAATAGAAAGATCCTTTTAATTTTTATTTTCCGACCTTATCAAAAAATGTCATATTATGGTATAGACACAATTTTCCGATTTCAGTTTAGTTTTGCAATATAAAGAATTCTTTATTTAGGACACTCCAGTGATTTCAAAATTTAAAACTCTTTCAAAGAGATGTGTTGATCTAGACACTTGTTCATGGAACACACTTATGTTAGCAGTAAAACACTGGCAGGATCCCAAACTATACACCCACGTAGAAAAAGTGGTGAAATCCCTGCCTGCCCGAATTTTTGCGAAGTGATAGATAAACCCTATTGTCGCTTTACCTGTACCTGTTCATTTAATATATGTACCAGGTACACTATGTGTATTTAAATTGTCAGTTGACTTTTAGTAAGGTTTGCAAGAAACAACAATTGTGCTAATGAATGTGTAATTGTACATAATGTTTAATTGTTAGTCAAAAGGTTATGTACCAAGATGGATGAGCAATAAATGGATGTTTGTAAAAAAAAAAATGACTGAAATTAGAGTTGCTGTTAATAATTTCTTGTATATATCAATTTAAACATATATATGTGATAATCCTGAGTAATTGTTTAGTTAGAGTAAACCAAAATGTTGACCTTTCAAAGTTTATTTGTTTATATCTTATACTGTCAAAAAGGGAAAAATTATAATCATGTGTTAAGTGACACCATTAAATGGAAATAAATTTATTTTCTGTTGGTTTGTAATTATAAGATGATGCAATGATTTGTGGGGATAATCCTAAGATAACATTATGCAAACCTGTGCAATCTTCCCTTGTTACTTACATTGTAAGGTGTGGAATAGGTGTTAAAGTGATGACACCTTTGTATGTAACATACATTAGTACCTGTGAAACAGGTAAAAGTCACAGGGAGAAGATAACTTGATTTTACACCTTACAATAGTCATTAAGTATGTTAATTATTTTGTCATGTGGTGTAATTGGGTACCTGCTGGATATTTGTGATAATTGTTATATTTTTTCCACAAAACATAAGTGTGTATCAGAAGTTTTCCTTGGAGTGCCCCAGAGGGCAGAGGTCATAATAAATGATGTCACAGCAATTTTATTGTTAAACATTTCAGTTAGTTTATAAAAAGAATTTAATAAATTTAATAATTACAATTTTATGACTTATTTTTTTTTGTATGAGTTTTTATACATGGACTTATATAACGGAAGAAATAAATTTGGAAAATGGCGGAATTCAGGGTTCAAAACTTAATGGAGATCAGGGAAAACAGTAACTAAAGGAACATGCCATTGGATGATTGATACCTTGTTTGCTCAGCATGAAAAGTTTATGCATTTAATGTATGTTTAACGCGTATTTTTAATTTGCTATTTAAAGAAACTCGTCCTTTTCACAATTCACACTTTCTGTAGTTAAACATTTTTAGTAAGATTTAATTGTACGCCCCCAATTAGTCAGAGTGAAACATTAGTTTTACTTTCAATGAAAGTATTATTGCCCCTTATTTTGACCTAACTTCCGGAACTACATTACTATGTATAACTTAGTCATGTTGCACTGAAACATTTTCAAGATGCTGAAATTGAACAAGGAAATACAAATGAAAACAAAAATTTAATATTCTATTTATACAAGTTTTACAGTAATTAATTAAGAATTTTCAATCAAAATTTCCATTTAGAGATTATGAAGGAGTAAAATACAATGCATGTCTGAGAACTGAAATGACAATGCTTTCTTGTTAATTGTTGCTGAAATGTATAAAGCGTCGAGAAAACTAGTAATTTTTATGAAAGATTGACTGCAGGAAAAAAAATACAGAAAAATTTCCCTTCTTAACAAGGAAATACTTCAATACAAA